ACACACAATATTTCACAGGTGTGAATCTGTGTACTCAGGACTCACCATGGACCATTTAAAATGCTGGTCACAGCGAATACTGATGTACAGTAGATAGTAGCCATGGAAACCAGTCAGAGCTTACCTTAATAATATATTTTTTTAAAGAAAACTAGATTTCAAAGGGTGATTTTTCTCTTTCTTTGGGGGCACAGTGCATTATAACATCTAGGAAATTATCCATTAGAGGTTTTTCAAAGCAATTCCATCTTAAAATCCCTTGCAGATGTTGCAGTGCTCATTTCTGCACACTGAAGACCAGGTGTGTTATTAAGGCATGATAAACACACCAAAACCTCCCTGGGGAATGCAATAAGTGAGGAGCAGAATAGGATCACACCCAGGCTGCACTGAGAGGAGGCAGGTCCACTGCTGAAAATTTATTTCAAGCCACTCCTTGAGGGACAAACAATTGGGGAGGATGTGCCTGCCTGGGGAAGGCAGGCAGCCAGGCACCTAGAGAATGAATGCAGGGCAGGAGAGGAGGGGTGGAGCCCTGGCTCTTGTGGAGACTAGGTGCATGGTGAGAATTAATGCTTGAAGCCTGAGAATAGGGCAGATGGAAGCTCTTGGTAAATACAGGCTTTACTGAAATTTGCAGTGCGGAAAGTGAAGTTTTCTGGGAGGAAATAGTAATTTAGAAGGTATTTTTTATAGGAAGCAAAAAAGCTTTTTGACAGAAGATTGAAATCAGGTACTGAAAAGTGCATTCACAACATATTCTGAGTTGCAAAGGGCCCACAAGGACCATCAAGTCCAATGTTAAGTAAATGGACATTGAACTCACAAACCTTGAGAGCTATTAGCACCAAGCTCTAACCCACTGAGCTAATCTCATCTCCCTACAGGGAGGAAAGCTGTCTGGTCAGTAGTGGTCCCTGGGGAGGTATGCTGTTCAGCAGGAATTCTCTAACAACAAAGACTTGGCAGCTCTCTCAGCTGCAAAAATGACCATGCAGACCTGACTGAAGACACGTTTGCAGCTAAATATAAGTTCTGTGGCTGTGAAAAGCATAGGGAAGGAAAGAAAATGGGAGAGAAGCTTCCCCTTCCTTCAGCAGGGAGCCTATTCCTGCCTCTACCCCAGCCTGTCAGGCAGCAGACCTCCACTGTGGCTACTCTGGGGAGAAGCTCTGAAACAGATCCACAGGTAGAAGAAAAAGGAATGGAAAAGGTATCAAATGAAGTGGAAAAATAAATGATGAGCAGAAGCAGAGCTCAAGTCATTTTCCATTGCTTTGAAAGGATAATATGCCTAGAGAAGCAGGAAGACGTTTTATAGGTGTAAGATTGATTTTTTTTTTTCACTCCTGAAAATTTCTGTATATTCAAGTTTGTCATGCATGTTCACTTTGAAACAGTTTTCCTGTCCCATTAACTGTGCTTTGGTAAGAGCATATGACCTCTGCAACAGACCCTGCTGGACTTCCATGGGCAATTTAAAAAATAATATCCAAATGAGACCTGAAATCACCTCTGCCACATTTTTTCATTACTTCCTGTGCTAGGAAAAAACAACCAAAACCCAACCTTTATACCTGCCACATTAGTTAGAACGTAAAACCACTAGGAAAAAAATATTGATGTATTGTGGTGCACATGGCATTCACACTATTAATTTCAATTCACCACAAATTTAGCAGGGTGCCAAGTAACATCCTTCAAAGTTTGTGTAACTCTGTAGCAGAAACTGAATTAAGGTCCAAATTTCATAGTATGGTAAAAAATAGTTAACTGCAAAGGGTTGACAGATTACTATGCAGTCTTCCCCAAAACCCAAATATCAAGATGATTTACTACAAGATTATTTCCTGTCAAATTAAGAAACATTTTTTTCCAGCCTGGTTGGCAATTTTATAACATTTAGATGACAAGCTAACTGTCTGATCTCAAATTAAATCAGCAGACTTGTGAAATTATAACTGTTCTCTTAAAAAGAATAGTGCATGGAGAGGAAAGAAAAAACAACAGCAACAATTTTAATGACATTTCCATCTAGACTCTGAAAGTATTCCCTGGTAAGATACTAGTTTACCCTTTCCTGAATACAATGAAATCTAAGAGATGTCATCAGAATACCTGAGACTGTTTTTTACCCTGTGGAAAAACAAAAGCTTGATAGCATTCATATTCCTCAAAGAAATAACTTATCATTGAAAATATGACTCACAATAACCAAAAGCTCAGATGATTAACTTACAGTTCCAAGAACATGTCCTCTGCTGTTAAATATCAATCACAAAGTGCAGTGTGGCCATCAATATTTAAGACCTTCACCACTGGGAAATAGAGCACCACTCGGATACTCTTCCTCAAAATTTATTGTCACATCCCAAAATGGTAGATGAGATGTTTTCCAAAGTTTTGTTCCATGGAATTGTTTTGATTGTCTTTTAAGTACATTAAATTCTGTTCTCTAAGGTAGAAACTTTCTGATGATACGGGGGAAAAAAAGGATCTACATTTATGAAACAGCTTTTTTGCCCCCTCAATGCCAATGTGCTGGAATCAAATTCATGAGGCTCTTGAATCCAGGGCAGGAAGAAACATCTCAAAGGGGCACCACTGTCACCCTTCCCATGTGCTCAATTTCCCCTGTCCCCATGAATAAGCATTGAATATAGATAATATAATATCTATATAATATATATAGATAACATAATATAATATGAATATAATATAACATTCCCCATGAATATAGATATATTGCTCACTGAAATTGTCATAAGGGATGATCCCAGCTTCTGGCTTTTCCTGTGTTCTTCCTCACTCAGCATGAGCTTCCCCATCTTGCATGTGTGCTGCAATTGAAAGTAAATTGTAGGTTAACCACAAAAATTGTGTCATTTTGATTTTTTGCTGATAATTTGGTGATACATTCACAAAGATGCCATCTTCCCTTCTGCATCTCTCATCCAATAAACTTATTTAATGCAGGAAGCTTTTCATTACTTTCTGTGCCAAATGTTAGTCATATTTATTGAGAAATTATAGAACTCCTATAATTTGTCAGAAACTGTGAAATTTAAATATCTGTGTAATTTAAAGATCATCATCTTAATGATTTACAGGGACTCTCAGAATGAAGTGAACATTTATAATGAAAATACCATCCCTTCTCTCTGCTCCCTTTTTTCCCATTCAAGGAACTAAGAACAAGATACCTAGTAGGAAATGCAAAACTTTCTAAGGAGTAAACAGATCCAAAGAGCCTATGGCTTGGTAAAAGTAGAATAGCAAACAGTTAAAAGGTCACAGTTCAGCAATATTATGAGGAATGATCTGTAATTAGGAAGGAATGATCTGTATTCATTTAAAAAGGAATGATCTGTATTCATTTCAAATCCCCAAATAAAATTCAACACAGATCCTTCCTTAATATAGAAGTGTGATATTTTTCTTAAAAACGCAATTTAAACCGCATTTTAGATCTATATTTGAAAATTTGCATTGGATATTAAAGTGCACAGGTCTTTTTAACATGAAGCAGACTCTCATTTCAGAAGATTGGGAAAAGCTGTTAAAGGTTGATAAGTGAAATGGCTGAGTAAGGAAGGTTTATCCAGAAAACCATTTGCTCCAATGACTATAAATCTCATTAAAGAGGTTACAACAACTGTCTTCTTTTGAGCTAGTTTAGCACAGAGGTGGGAGTAACCAAACACTGAAGAAAAGGAAAAGCCAATTTTCCTCTTCTTTTTGTGAATCCTGGGAGCTCCAGTGATGTTACAAGCACATTACAATAAAATTAAAATACCACCAGCGCATAACATAAACCCAGACTGGATAATATACTGACTAAACAAAGCATTTAAAACTAACTTCTTGGCAGCTTCTGTTAGATACAGATAAATAAGGCATAAAAATGCCATTTTTTTATTTTTCACTTAAAATAAACTTACAGAACTTACAGAAAAATGTACTTTTTCATTTAGCTTGGACCAACTTGTGTGCAACTTTTTGCTTCTTTCAACTCCTGTAATTTGTTGCAGAAAGTTTCAATACATCGCTTTTTACGCCTTCCCTCCACCTTCCCAGTTTAACTTTCTTTTTTTTTATTATCTGAATAGCATAGCTCATTACATAATCAATCAATCAACCAATCTCTTTGGAATTCCCATCATTTCACCAAGATCATTTTTGCACCTGCTCCTGCAGTCTAGTCTATGAAATTTCAGCAAATGTCACTGTCAAACAGCCTCATAACATGCTCATGGCAGGTGTCGTGTGCACTGGTATTAATTAGTCAATACCATTCAGTTTCTTTGTCAGGTGAGCTGTGTTACTTCTTTTCTTTTTTCTTGTATCTGAATCAGTATCTACAATCCCACCATGCTGTGGCTGGTGTTTTCTGCAGAACATCATCCAGACACCAGGTGTAATGACATGTCTCCATCTTTTTTTTGGCAGAGAAGGTTTGGGTTTATGCTTGTTATGCTCTAACGTTTTGGCCAATGAAGTCAGCCCATCCATGCTGCAAATTTCACAGTGTTCTGAGTACAAGGAACCAGAAATTTCAAATCGTCTTGAGAAAGAAAGAAAGCTCCCTATAATTATGTAAACATGTCTGCTGTGCTGTGCTAGTTACAGCTGCACACCACCACATTTTGCAGAATGGTTTATTAGACTCACTTTTCTTGCTGCAATCCAGTTGGAGATAAATAGGCTTTACTCCCAGCTACAGGATAATGCTCAAATAGCAGACAAAAACTTCATGTATAATTCTCACATTAACACATGTTTTGTGAGGAATTCATGTGCACAGAGAAATTTGGGATCAAAAGAAGGAACGGTTTATGTGCTGGATGTCAGTGGCAGAAACAGGCACATTCAGTCTGTGTGAGGAACTTTTCTAGAATAAACAGAAGAATAATTCACACCATTACTGAGCATATTATCTATGAACCTGAGAAACTAAATTTGAACCTTTCTAAACATTTTGTTTCTCAATTACCCCACAGTCAGCAGCCCCTGGGAAACTGAAAAACCTGAGCAATTATATCTGAAGAAAAAGGGAAGAAATGGGACTATTCACCCAAAAGTTTGCTCCCAGGTAAATTCAGTCGTCTTTTTCCCATGTGTGCTCAAGTCTAGAGAATTCCACGTTGAGGAGTCAAGTTTCAATGTGCACTTTACCTGCCATCCAGTCCAAGGTTGTCAACATCATGAAAGCTATAAATCACATCAATCTTTGGTACAGAATCTGTTCTCTTCTACTTATTGCAGATCTGGCATCATTGCCTCTCTGTCCTGGATGCAAATGTCATCAGCTTCAGGATACCACTTATGCCATCCAATTCCAATCATAAAATTACTGCATGTAGAACTCAGGCATTTCAGGCTTAGAATAAACAAACAAACAAAAAAAGCCTATTTTGAACAATTTTCTTTCGTAGAGAATTCTGTATTTGCTATCATGCTTGATCTATACAATACAAACTTAAGCTTGCCTGTGTTTCACCTAAAATCTAGGATCTGTGATATTCTGAAGTATCAGTATGACTCCCATATTTGAAATTTTGTTTTCCATAATACTTATATATGTTTTTAATAGAGTTGTAGTAATAATTTCTCCCTCATGTAATGCAAACAAATTATAATTGAAAACAAATAATAATTTAAACAAGAAAAAAATCTGTGTCCTAATTTATGGCCATGATAAAAGTATTTTCATTTTTTGCTTCTAGTGATTTCCCAACCCATGTTGCTTGCAGCTTGAGATCCTTGCTCAGAAATTATTCTGGACTTTAGGCAACCATAGAAATGAATATATTTATTATCTATATGGTTTCATTCAATTCTTCCATACCATCTTGTTAAGTTTCTTCTTAAAAAGCCCTGACATTAAATAGTGACTTTTTTGCATTTCTTAATTCTCCTGACCAACAGTAGATGCAAAGGTTTGTCATTTAAAGATTATTTTGCCTTTTGATAATTTTATTAATTATAAGTTTAAATAATATCATTATAATAATATATAATTATTATAATAGAATAATGTTTAAATAATATTAAAAATTATAATGACAAGTTTTAAAGGGAATACACTACTAAAGCCTAACTCTGTTATGAATATTCCTTACCAGACAGACATACATGGTCTTCAATTTCCTTTCACTTACCCCTTTGCAAGAATTTGTAATCAAGAGTCTCTGGAATCTTCTTTCTCATATAACCTGGACATTTTCCAGGTACATCAAAACTGAGCATGTGAAGTCCATTGCTGATATCTTGGAACAGAAGAGGCAGGAATGATAACACTAAGGCAGAAGTACAACATCCTGATTGCAGGTAAAGCATGAACAATGTTGGCAACTAATTGCCATCACTGAGGGAACATTGTAGTCACAGTCTGTTAATTCTCCAATCTGCCATTAGTTACTGAATAGTAGCTAAGAAAGTGCCATTCAGGTAATGAGGAGGACATATAAAGCAGCAGCACACAGAACACATCAAAAGTTATGTCTCCATACTAATCCTCAGAAGTGATACAAAAAAAGTGGCAGGAGGACGTCTTCAGCATGGGAACATGATTATGGATTGGTTCTAACTGTGGTCAGAGTATGTCATTAATATCAGTCATGCCTCCAGGTGTACATTATCCCTTTGCTGTTGTGATGTCCTGTGTAACTACAACTCCTTCAATTTGCTCCAGAACCATCTCTTGTCCCTTCTGGCTGCAGCACGTGCAGTTACACGAACTCCCAGCTTCTCTGAGGGGACAGGCAACTCAAAGCCTGAGGAAGAATCAGGATTATCATCTCACCCTCCAGAAAAACTCATCAAGTTATAACTGGAGTACTGCTCAACAAAAATAGTTACCCTCAGATTCAAGATGAACTGCTACACAGTGAGAGCATAAAATTTTCTGTGTAGTGAATTATGAAACACAGATGGATTTTTATCCATTGTCAGTCTTGCACTAGACAAACACAGGAAGTGACAGGATCAAGTGGTAACGGTTTTAAACTGAGAGTAGAGTTTAGGTTAGATATTGGGAAGGAATTATTTACTCAAAGAGTGGTGAGGTACTGAAACACATAGGCTGGGTAAGATTTGGACTCTTCATCCCTGGGAGTGTTCAAGGCCAGGCTGGATAGGGCTTTAGAGACAACCTGGTCTAGTGGAAGACGTCCCTGCCCAAGGCTGGTGGGTTGGAACTAGACAACCTTTATGGTCCCTTCCAACACAAACCGCTCTGTGATCTATTTTACACTTGGTCATTAAGACAGTGCAGTAACACAGGTTGGTGGTCTGCCTTGCACTGTTAAACATGTAACTATCCACTTTAAAGTTATCACACACTAAAACAATACCCAAAAGCTAAAAGTGGTGAACATGCATTAAAAACTGGGCTCTTAGAGAACTGAAAGATTAGAAGATGAGCTAGAACAGAGGTAGAGGAAAGAAGGAAGTTGCATTTTAGAATCATGAACTGAGATATATAATGATTAAATGGTAAAAGAGGAATGGAAATAGTAAAAATAATAAGGAAATGAAATGCAGATTAATATTTAGAGATGGGGTGAATTAGTAGGTATTTGCTCTGGACGTTGGAGTAATCTTTTTCACATTAATCAAATGCGAATCATTAAAAAAGTTGTCTCATTTTAGTACCACAGTTTCACAAACTTCCTTACCCTCTCAATTTTTTTTTCTGTATTTCTTCTCTGTAGAAATATGCTGCAAAGATACGAAAATGTTTAGGTCTGAAATGTATCCTATTTGTCAAATTAAATTTTTATGAATAAATGACTTCTTTTGAAAACACTTATGAGCCTTTTCAGGTTTTTATTTCATTTCAGCCACTGGAAATTAATTTCTGAATCTCTCTCAGATATTCCTTATGATGAATGTATAATTTTATAAATAACTGGCCCACTTTACCATGACAAGAACTGTATGTCTGAGAACGGTTTTAACCAGAAGGCTGAGAAGTTCCTTACCTTGACATAACATGTGTTTTACCAGATATTTTGTAGGGAAGACACCCATGCTGATAAAAACAAATTGCACTATGAGCGAACTTTTAGCGAACAGATTTGGATTTTACATTACCCTTTGGATGGACTGATTCTATCACTCTCTGGTTGTAAGTAGCTGAATTATTTTTTCCTTATTGTTGTTATAACGAGCTGTGCAAGAAATTGTCCACCCTCTGCTCCTTCAGTTGTCAAGAACAATAAATGCTTTTGAGTGAAGTGTTAGGCAAAAATGCACATACTGATATCTTTATGGAAGGGAAAATATACCCCAATTGCAATTGTTTTTTAAGCTATCCTATTACCTTCAGTTCATGTTAATTAGATCCACAATAAAGTTTTCACTGCGTTGATGAACTGTAGCAAAGAAAGCTCATAAAACCTGGAGAGTTATTTCTGTTTGCTCAATGCCGTTGGACTGTGTGGCAAATGGGAGTAAGTTCTTACTGAAGCTCTCAGTTACACATATTCCCTGAGAAAATAAAAAGGTTAATTTGATTTCTATTTTCAATTTTCTTCTTTTCCTATATGCAGTGGGCAGCAGCTGTGATCTTGATTAACTATCTTGCTTTTCATACTATTTTATTAATCAGCAATTTGCTGTTTTAAGTTCCTTCACTAAATTTGCTTTATCAGTGATATTTTTTTTGTTCAGATATTTAACAGTTATTTTAACTTTGATATAATGTAAAAATTATTGATAAGAAATTTGTATTTTGATGACAATATTTCAGTAAAAAGGAATTAATAAATAGCAGAACCTTTATACTACACTATTATGAAGGAATGGAGCAATCATTACAGAGCATGATTGCTATAACAATACCTGAATAGTTCTTCTTTATAAATTGTGATAGAAGTGGAGGCAATGGTCTTTGTTTTCTCTTATCTTTTCCCACAGTATCCCAATAACATAGCTGGGAAAGGGAATTGGACATTATTGATGGAAGAGAATTTATATGCAAACGTACTGGAATTTTCCAAGCCACGGGAGGAAAAAATATTATAATAGGATAACCTGTGGAAAAGAGGAACCATGTGTTCTGAGTGGTATTGATTTTTCTTCTTTAGATTGGGTATTGATTGCTCGTGTCTGTCCATTGATTAGTGAAAAAGTCTATTTTTCACTTTCAAGAGAATCATCTTCATTGCTTTGTGCCCTTTATTCCTAGGCAAAATCCCTATGGATGCTACACTTCAGGAATTTTTAGGCATATGTGACCTTTTAATTATTTATGACTTGCATATCTATCAACTGAAATCTTATGGCAGGAAATGAGATTAAATTGCTCTGAAAGAAGAGTCAGGTTCTCCAAGTTGTATGCGTGAAGCATGGCATCCAAAGAGAGCCTATTGCTCTGCACAGATATTGCTCTGGCATACTAAAAATAAACTGTAGACTACATGTACAAAATTCTACAGTATTTTTCTTCATTACTCAAAAGACAGGAAATGCCATCATCTTATTTAAGAAGAAAGAGTAGGGGCTGCTCCTCAGGGTTTGGTCTTCTTTCTCACCAGGCAGGCCTGCCTTGGTCTTCCCCAAAGGAACACAGCTGCTTCCCCACCCCGCAGAAGAAATTGCCCGATCTCCTCCTGCAGAGACCTCCCCCAGTGCAGAGATGGCCATCAAGAACACACTCAGACCCTTACAGGAAGTTTTCTGCTGTGTGTACATCACTATATGATTTCAGTATACAAGTCAGAAAACAAGTATTGACTGCTGTTTGGGAGTTTATAATTGCAGCTAGCTCTTGGGGCTAGATGTCCTTCATACTTTGTTCATTTGCATTATGTTGCTACAGCAAATACAAAAGCCAGCTAAGCCTACAATGTACTCACACTCTAGAGAGGCACAAAGGCTAGTTGATAAAAATGAGGACTGTGGAGTGGGAAGAGTGTTCTTGGTTGTTTTGTTGGGGTTTTTCAATTCCTTTCTAAGAGTTTTATGGCTTTATCTTCAGTCCTACACATTCAATCTTTATTTTCTAGAAGAAATTAAAGAAAATTTAACATTGCTAATGTGTTTTTGACTTCACAAATGTATTTGAAACATGATAAAACTCCTTGCTTTCAAATATGTTTTCTCCAAAGCCAGTAATAGGTTTTAATGGCTCAGAAAGAATATCATAAATACAGCATCATCAAAACTAATCTACCATGAGAAGAATAGTAATGTCAAATGGCCTCTCCTACAGAAATGTTTTAATTTTAATTAATTACCTAATTTGTTGGAGCATTTGTAATATATATTTAATGACACTACAGTCTGGCACAGCCTTCCAGACAGTGTTCTGAGGAAACATGATCTAAGCATAGCCTCAAGCTGATATTATCAAATAACTCACCATGCTGTGTAAAAAAAATCCAGATAAAACAAGCAGCTAATGTTTCAGCTTCCAGGGCCTCAGGAAAGCTTGTTTTCACCCTAGCCTTTCTCTCTGGCAGCTCCATCACCTCTGCCTTTATATCTGGAATGTGCAGTAAATAAATATTCAGCACTGGCCTGGTTGTAGTTAGCACCAAGCAAACAATAGCCCATTACTATATATCACACTCCAATTACTAAAGATCTTGCCATGTGTCTAATAGTCTGATATAAACAGCCCATTAAGCTTTCTAATGGTGGTGTTAAATAAAGGGTGAACAAATAGTACTAGAACAGTTAGAAGCCCCTGGGCAGCTTTGCATCTTCCCATGCCACTCCTTTAATGAGATTATGTTATTGCTTTGGTTGGCAGAAACTCATTTGAAGGTTTCCAGTTCTCCTGCCCTTTTGTGTTGAACTGACAAGGCAGATGTATCTAAATATTTACCCTTTGGTCCATTTTCTTCAACAGAGTAAAGTTCTTGCCCTTTATTCCCACTTACGTCACTGCCTCTTTTTGCCAGACAGAGCAATGCCTCTCTCCTGATCAAGCAGGGAATCTCTGGTACAGACCCTCCCTGGAGTCTAATGCAGCCCATGAATCTCTCAGCATCTTGAGAGAAAGCATCAGTCATGTAAATGACCCCTGCATCAGTGTTCTGGCAAGGCATTGTAAGAGCTTATTCAATTATGGTACAATATTTTTTCCAATTAGGGGAATGTCCATTATTTTTCTTTATTTTGATTAAAAATAGTAGAGCCTTTCAAAGTAAGAATAACTACCAAAAAAAGCCACTTAAGACTTGGAAATGTAAATTCAAAAGACAATATATCAGAAATAATAAGTAAAATAATTTAATAACAATTTAATAATTTAATAACAAGTAAAATAATTGAAGAAGTATTAGATTAGAATAAAAATGTTTACAGAACTCTAAAACTAAGTTTCCTTTATAAAGGCTATAGCATAGTTGGTGTGTGTTATACAGAGTATTGAAACACCAGGAAACAACATTCAGTAATGATCTCCATCACAGACTGAAACTGCCTTAACTGCTGAGCTCTAGTATAAACAAATAAACTGAAAAAAATTACAAAACTGACTTTAAAAGCCTGGGTCTCACAGATTGATTGTTGTTTAGTTTAAGCCATAATGAACAGTAAACTATGGACATGCTGTTTACTTTTAGAGATGTTAGTATGCCAGAAGACAGAAATTATGCAGCTCTTTAGTTTAGATCTAGCTGACAAAACCTGCTAAATTGTTGTAAAAATTCAACTTTGATATTATACACTAATCAAGTCCAGAATGATGGTGTATTTTGTATGTAAAACACAATAAAATGTTACACATAACATCCTGGCACTTAGAATTTGTTTCAGCAGTGTTTCTTTCTTTTAAGTTCTGCTAATTTAGTAATTACAAAAACAATCAACAAGCCTTTTGCCCAAAGGTCTTCTATGAAGCTAATAGATTTAGCAGGAACCATGATAAAAACCAGCATCATAGCACTGGACTGATGCAGTGCTGCATCAAGGGGACCTCCTTTCAAGACTAGAAAATAAGCTAGCATTTTTCTTGCTGTAATTTTGGGGAACCTGCCTGATATAACACCTTGGGTGTCATCTAGGGATGACTGTGACTACGGTTTGCAATGTATTTTACTGTACAGACAAATTTTTCAAATTTGTCACTGTCGTCCAAATTTTCCACAGCTGTCACTGAACAAGCTTTGCAGTAATATCAATCAAAGATTACAAGAAAACTTCTGCTCTGCATTATTTTGTTCAGTTTGGTAGGGATTTCCCTAACAGCTCAAGCAAAATGTAATCAAGGATACAAAGACGCTCTATCACCTCTTTGTGACACAGCCTCAAATAGAAAAACATTTTTAAATAAGTGGTTGGTGCTCCAGAACTTCCTGGTTAGGAAAGGGGATCTATTGGAAGATCTCATGAACCACAGTTAGGCAAATGGGAGCAGAGACTGCACTTTCCTCCAGTATATCAGCTGCTAGCTCTCCATCTGCAGGAGCTTTCTTTGTTCTTCTAAGAAGGAAGCAGTTAAAAATCTGAAAAGGCCAAAATGGAGTGTTCACAGAAGTCACAGAATGAGAAGAAAATTCTGTTCCTTGAATAAGTTGAGGCCTGAAGTCATTTTGTGGTAAGCAAAAAAACCAAAAGCTGTTGGAAATGAGACTGCACACACAGATGGAAGCCACATCCAGGGATGTCAGAAGTTTCTGATGGAACTGACAGATATTAAGGTAACCTATGTATTAAACTTCACAGATTCATGATATATATGATTTAGACTGACCTCATTTTAGATACTTAAACTGTAGATTTTTTTACCTCTGACCTCATTGCTGGAGGTTCTTCTTGTAATTGACAGTATAAAGGAGGTATATAGGTAGTTTTAGGGCATGTTTCATTCTAGCTCCTCTTGCCTTAGATGAATCTCATTTTACAAATGCATATTTCATTTCACTCATTAAAAATTAATTTTAGGCCACCAGTTCAGTCACAAAGCCAGATCCACATTATTGCCAGTCATATCAGATCAAATGTGAAGCTGGAAATGCCAATGTCCCAAACCACAAATTTCTTAGAACAAAGAATCCAAAAAGCTTCTAGCTCATGGGGAAAAAAAGAAAGCATAAGAACTTCTAACACGTAAAAATCATCAGCATACTTAGTATGCTATGAGGAAGCCAGCAGATATTGAATTTGGACTTGTTGTTACTATGACTTCATGCAGCATCAAGTAATGATTAAAGCAGGGTATGAAGGAGCTGCTAAGCTGTATTACCCTGGCATATCACTTCAAGGAAAAAGAGATGGTAAATCACAAATCACTGACTGGTCTACTTGAACAACCTTCACCACTTCAGACATTGTAAGAAAGCCAAATGGTGATGTGAGACCATACACTGATGTTAAGAAATAGCCCATAAATAACCTCTCTCATATTTACAATAGTAAAAAACAGGAAGAAAAACTGTAGCAGTTTAATCTTTTCATAAATTACCATTTTCAACACGCCTGAGCATGTAATGAAATCCCTCCTGGTTGTCCCAGTTCTGCAAGAGCCTTTTAGATTCACTAAAGTGTTGAAGACATTTCAGATTTAATAAACAGCCCTCATTTAAAACACGAGAATTAAAGACAAGCAGTCAGGTCACTGTCTTTAATTCCACAGGACAAAGAAGAAATATTTGGTAAGAGAGTAAACAGCAGCTGCATAACTAAACAGGACTGGAAAGAACAGTCTGGCTCACCACATCCAGTCTCATTCTAAAATCTCCTGAACTTACAAATCTCCATCTAAAGAAAATTTCTTTTTTATCCTAACCCCTTACCAAAGTCTATTGCAGAATCATCACCAGACTTTTAAACAAAAGATTAGATTTTTTTTTTTTGCAATAACTAACACAGGAATTCCTGCAGTTTATTTGCAGTCTAGGCTAATTGAGAAGAATGCTGCCTTTTTCATAATCTCTGACCACCTATCTTCCCATATCAGCTCATATGTCACAGCAAACCTTTTACTTAGTGCAGCTTCTTCTTCAGAAGCATTCTGAAGCATTCTGAATGCTTCTTTGAAGCATTTCTTTGGCTGAAAGAGAATACCTATGTGCTGGTTTTGGCTGGGGTAGAGTCAATTTTCTCCACAGTAGCTAGTATGGAGCTACATTTTGGATTTGTGTTGGAAACTGAGGCATCTGTTCTTGATAACACAGGGATGTTTTAGCTATAAGTGAGCAGTGCTTACACAGGGTCAAAGTCTTTTTTTCTCCCCATCTTCACACCAAAGGAATATGTGATAATAAGCATAATATGAATCATTTTTACTGCTTTTTAAAATTATTACTATGATATATAACTTATCAGAAATGACAACTGATTGGCCATCAATGTTTTGCAATTCTCCATAACAGTGTTCTGTTCTCATTTGAATAGCTGGAGTCATACCGTGCAAAATCTCCAGCACTGCCAGAATTCTGCCAAGAGTTAACTTTATTGTCTCTGAGTACTCAGTCCCATATAAATATCTATATTCTCATTATATTCCCAGAAATATACTGTTCACTATTTGCTGTAGTTCCACTGAAAATCCTTTGGTTCACAACTAGGGAAAGGAAATGACACTGTAAGAGTTAGATGTGCAATAAGGCTTTACAGAGACAGATTAAAAGTCAGCAGAAAGATAAGGAATCACACAGAATCACAGAATAATGAGGTTGGAAGAGACCTCTAAGATCATCAAGTCCAAGCTATGCCCTTGCGCGTCAACTAGACTATAGCACCATGTCCAGTCTTTTTTTAAACATATCTAGAGATGGTGATTCTACCACCTCCCTGGGAAGAGCATTCCAGTAGGTTTTGTTGTTGTTGTTGTTTGGTTGGTTTTTTTTAGGTCTTGAAATGAAAAAGTTGAGATTTTGAGGTGTGAGGATGTAAAGGCTTAATGTTGCCCAGGAGATGGAAAACCACATTAAAAAAGATTTGTCTGCTGTACCTCACTGAAGAAATTTGTTAGCATAACAGTGGAGGAAAACTGTAAACTGAGTGAGTAATATACATTGATGCTTGAGCACAAAAGGCAAATGCACAATCAATATTTATTTGTAAACACATACGGGCAGAAGCAACTGTTACCCCTCAGTGTCACATTAAGTGTAAAAGGGATCTTGCAATAATTGGGTTTTGCCATTGTTCTGGTCAAAATATGTAAATTCTGGAAAGCAGCTGGACTTAAACATGTGTGACTGCAATGAAGTAATTTTCCAGACTTGGAGAAAATGCCTTCAGGAGGCTCTGTCTGTGCTATAACCAAACCACCACAAGGAAATTACACCCACAACCCACACTTCGACAAAACCAGACTAAACAAAAGAGGCATTCCAAAAACTTAACACATTTAAAAGCACGAGCTCTGCTCTGACATTTCAGCTTGCCCTAGTGTGGACTTGGACTTTTTTTTTTTTTAATCTGAAAGTCCTATAGCAAGGCCCATTTGGTCTATGTGAGTTCAAAAAGAGAATAACTTTGTCTGAGACACACACATGTCAATATGAGAACTCCTTGAAGGTCTCCTTCACATAAAATGTACATGCCCAAAAAGATTAGGTGGCTGCTGCTACTGGGCATTGCATTCCAGGTTTAATCTGTTGGCTACCTTAATTATTTCCTTCTATATGACTTACTTCATAAAAGAAATTGCTAAAAGCCTATACCTGGTGAAAGTCCACCTGTTACTTGTGGATATAAAATGCCTCCAGAGAAAAATGTGGAAGTAGAAAACACAGAAACAATTCTTTTAGCCATGACAAAAGCAGATTTCACTTACTACTTTTTCCTCCTCTAAATAATTCAGCAACTGGGAGATTTCATGTCAGCAATTTCATTATAGGAATAAAATTATTTCACAACCCCCTTTCCTTTTCTTTCACAATTGACACAGGTTCAGCTCCTCAGAGAGACTCTTGAATTCTTAAATGTCAACACTAGTGCTAATAACCATCAGGCCCTTCAATTTCTTGCTTAAATTTCCTTAGCACATGGAAGAATGGATCCTTTAGTATCTGTATTACTGCATTTCTAAAGGGAATGGAAAGTGAGCTACACTGTAACTAACTGGGCATAATGAGCTTTTACTGGGATTTAGAAGCTGTTAATAACCACAGTCTGTCTCCATAAATTAAAAACAATACCTGGTCTCTTATAGTTTTCCTTCACTTGGTATCTGTCTTGTTCATACTTTATGGTGGCTGTCAGTGCATTTATTGTACTAGAAGTTAAGATTTCCCAAATGGAAGATGTATTTCTAGGAAAAACTGCCAGCACTGTACAGGTGAGAGAAATACTGTCCTTTAATAAATATGAGCAAGAACTTTGAGTGAATGTTTTAATCTTTGCACAAAATATTGAAAATTGTCTTCCTGTAGCTTGGAGGAAATATTAAACCAGCAGGGCAGTTAATGCATTTCCTGGGACTAATATAAAAAAATAATGAGATAAAATCAGATAAATTATGTTAAAGACAGGATATGAAAATGCAGGCATAACAGTACACCTGCAATAGCTAACAAGAGGGAAGCAGGAGTAAATGGTGTTCTGCAGCACAGCCCATTGGCAGCAGCGTGCTGAGGGCACGTCTTCAGTGTATTCATCTTTTCCAACCTGACTTTTAAAAGTATACATCTTTTTCCCTGAAAAGTCTATTTCTGTAATCTGGGACAGTTATATTTCCTCTAAGTGCTGCAGGAGCTTTCCTACTTGTTCTCTCTGTATTTCTATATGGCAGTGGCATGTGC